TTTGAATTAATCAATTATCACATTTGGATGTTTCAAATCGCCTTTCTCTCACTTATACTGCTTACAGAGTAGTTCTAGATTTCTCTATATATAAAAAGACATCAAGAGAGCTCTCTTGCAGCAGACACTCAACGAAATGAAAAAAAAAAAACAAAAAAAAAACTTTAAAGAATATCACGAGAGCTGGTGTTCGAATGTTTGTTTTAATTAGCAGAGGCTTTCTTCTAAATAACTACTTTTTGTCTCGATTTCTATTGCCTGGCGACAGCTTCTGTTACACGTTTTTCGAGACCTTAGCTTAGCTAATTCAATCCGAAATAATCTTTACAACTATGCGCCATAATGAACAAACTAAGGAAAATTAATCGCTGACGGCTTGACCACGCGTCTGTGCTCTGACAGATTATAAGTCACACGAACGAACTGACGATCAAAATGAACGAAGAATTCAGTACATATGAGGTTTGTCCCTTTCCCTACCCACCCTCGAATTTCAAATAACCTGAGAAACTTAAAGTTAGGGAAAGTGCTTCTTTTAGAAGATATCTGCGTTATTATGGACATTCGGTTTCCAATTTTCCAACAGATGAAGCGGAGTTGGGCAGCCTAGTCTCTAAAATGGGAGGGTTAGAGTAGGGAAAAGCCCTGGGAAAGTTTGGGACTTGGAAGGAGGGGGAAGGGGTGTCACAGTGATATGGGCATCCCTGCGTTTTGAGCATCCCCTTTCCCAATACCCTAGTGATATGGGCATCCCCTGTAACCCTAACCCTAACCAGTAAGGTACTATGAGAAGGGGATGCCCATATCACTATGGTTTTAGGAATGGGGATGCCCATATCACTGTAACAGGGGGGGAGGTGGGGGGGGGGGGGTCTTCTCTCATCTCAGTAAGTCGCTGGCGTAGAACCTTGCTAATTTAACCCTTTAAGTCCCAATAGTGACCAACATCAATTTTCTCCTCACAATATCCATACATTGTCAAGAGATTAGGTTATGAGAATTAATTAAATGATCGCCAAAGAAAAAATGCCATGATCTTTTAATTTTTTCTCTCAACTCATTCTTAAAGGAAATGTATGGAGTTCAGGGTGGAGAATTTTCATGTGTACAAAGTCCTGCCTTACGCTCTAGTTAGAATCCCTTCTAAAAAACACTCCCCCCCCCTCCCCCACCCTTTTTTGTCTTCGACATGTTCATGAACTACGCAAAAATCAGACAGTATACTCTGGGAGCTACTGTTTTTACGTTTCTTAGTTTGCCTCTCTGAGTGATCGTATACGTGACTTGATATAACCGAGTTTACTTGATACCTGCTTGGATAAGGTATGGCGTACTGTCTCTTCAAAATTTTGGTTGTCAGGTACGTGCGATTTACTGCTGTTTTAAATGATAGATTAAGAAGAATCAACTGACAGTTGACAACTGACTAAAATTAAAGTTTACAAGGGTTTGAGAATTTAACTGATAACTTTGATTATGTAGCCGACTCCGTCCTAACCCCATTACAACTACTAGCAGTTAGAATCTAAATTCAATAAAAATTTCTCAGAGAATTGCATTTTTTTAAATCAGAAAAATAAATAAACAAATAGCATCTCGTGAAGGTGACGTTAAAGAGATTTTACTGGAATGGTACACTATAGAATTAAGTCCGCCATCTCAAAAGTTAGAGTTAATAAATTGCACCATTTAAAAGTAGAGATCCTGTAGAGCTCACATAATTTCATATAATTTCTGCATTTCTGATACTTTGTAAAAAAAACTACAATAGAGATTTTATTTAATTGGTCACTGATCATGAGTTATACGATTTGGCCCTAAGACAAGACGAAGTAAATGTATGTCTTGATCAATTGCTAACTGTTTATAGGGCTGAATCATTATACAAAGCGAGGCAGTCTGTAAAGCTCACGACTTTCGCCAGTTATTATTCTTCAGAAAGGGAAGCTGCATTTCTGTACATTGCACTGACATTGTAGTATCCTCAAATGCCTCAATGTCAATGTAACCAAAAGTGAATATAAAATGTCTCTAGAAGGTTTCAATTGTATTCTTTTGCCAGATCAGACCGCATAAGTGGTGACTTATTATCGCAGAATCAATTTAGAATTGAGATAAGATCGTTATCCTTTATCTGATCAGTATCCTCTTTTAACCTTCACAGACGGTGCTACTTAAGGCATCTCTTCACAAAGACCGTTCTTCGATCACACTCATTAAGGACATATTCACATTACACTAAGCACGCATTCCTCAGAGAGAGAGTTTACCGGTTCCTCCGAGAGTTTGGTCTCAAAAGCCTGTCTCACGCTCAACTAAGGATTCAGAAACCATTAAAGAGAAAACTGTCAGGTCGGTTGATGCCTTACACAAGAAAACCTCGGTTAAGGGTGAGTTAAGAAACCCTATAGTGCGTGCCTTAAGCATGGCCTTTGCAATTATTATCTATGGGCTTTCACAGCATGGTTTTCACAGTATGTTACTCATGTTAAAACAATGCGCTAAAAATACATACAAATAGCTAACGAAAAGTTAGGAACAAGACGTAGTCACTAGGGGAAAAATCGTGCAGAAACTATATTTCCTTTTACCCCTCCCCGCCCCCCCGACAAAAGTTTAAATGGTCCGTCTCCTGACCTAGTTGTCCAATATACAAGGTTTTCGCCTTGTTTCCTCTTTAAATTGTATTTTCACGATGTCCCTTAGGTAAAATTCTTAAGGGTGGCACCTCTTGCACATTAACACAGGAAATTTCTGCCTCAAAAGCACTTTTATTTTAATTGCGCAATTAAAGTAAAAGTGCTCAGTTTTGAGTTAGAAATTTCCTGTGTGAAAACAACCAAAACCGTGACGAAAGGGGTCAAATGCACGCCCTTTATTAGAGTACGCAACTATGTAGCTTGTATGAAGGACACCGAAAGAAGTATCCTCTTCCCCTCACTAGCTTCTTTCCGCTCTGATCGTGAGGAGACATTTACAAAAAATTTGGAATGTGTCGATCATAAGTAAGTCCGGTTTTATACGTTTTAAATAGCAGTAGCAGAGGCATACATTATTATTATGACCAAAGTTGCACGCGTTCCCTAAAGTACACTTTGATTTTTTTACATGACACGCAACTGTTTGGAAAGATATGCGCCTCAAGAAGGCAACGATAACGGCGTTGTTTTAAGATCATCGCTATGAAAATGCTTTCGGTACAGCTCAACCATAATCAATCCTTTAAGTAAAGCAACATTATAAAAATAAAACCTTTAGGATCAACACACTGTTAATTTGAAGAACATAGTTAACTTCTTGCTGCGAGAGAAAGGTCCCACCTAAATGCGAGAAATACCGAAACTTCCTTGAATTCTAGTAATCAGTTTCCCGCTGGGGGATAAAAGACCGGCCATCCTTTTAAAATAAGTACTAGATAAATACCCAGACGTGAACGACATTACACGCATCTAAATATATCTTTAGAACTTTTTTTTACCGTCCCAGTTGTAGGCGTTGCCACGCCCAAAATGAGACTTCAGACTGCGGCATATTTGTCGTTGCCTTTCCGATCTGAGCCTTCTCACGCTACGGTAATATTCCCTGTCTTGAAATGGGGATCTATAAATTTTCGTGTGCAAGTTGTAATGCTTGTTATGTTGGTGAAACCAGCCGACACTTCTCCACACGAGTACGCGAGCACTTACTTTCAGACAGGTCTTCGAACGTTTTTAAACATCTGCAGGGTTCAGAGTTTTGTAGAGCATCCTGCACACCGGATTGCTTCGAGATCCTGGACTCTGCAGCCACTAAGTACCAAGTGAAGCTTAAGGAATCCATGTTCATAAAATGGGAGAAGCCCGATCTCAACCAGCAGGTGAAACACATTAACCTGACTCTCTCCCTGTAAAGAACTAAGCGTCACTCATTTAACTTTGTTTTAGTACGCAATATTGACAACGCAATGTAACGAACTTTGTAAGATCGCGCGCGCTTTAAATTCATCGGCGATTTCAAAATATGTAACACGGAAGATGACGGATGTACCGTCGAAACATGTCTGGAAAATTAAAGAAAGTTGTTATGTTTATACGACTATCTATATTGTTGCTGCTATCTAGACCTTTTGGATCTTGATAAACGATTAAACTAATATAGCTAAGAATTAGTCAAGATTTAAGTTTTTCAGATTATAAATGCTGCGTTTTTTTTAGAAACAGGGGCCCGTTTCTCGAAAGTCCCGGTAACTTAACGGGCCCGGAATCATATTTTTAAATCAAAGTCTCAAGAAAAGTAGGGTGTGTTCTGACCTCAAGTGAAGTCCATTTTGTTTCGTTAGCTGATAATTCTACTGTATAATTTTCAAAACATTTAAAACTCCCTTCTAAAATGGAAAACAAAACAGCTTAACGGGCCCGGTAATTACCGGGAGCTTCGAGAAACGGGCCCTAGGCCCCAAGATCTACGATAAGAACAAAATAACTGCTAGTAAAAAATGAGCTAAAATTTTAACTTCTAGTTCAGGAATTGCCATTATTTAAACCAGCCGGCTGCAACAAGTATTTCATGTTCCTGCAAGTTCATAGTTTGATAATTTAAACAAATTTTCCAAGGATAGTTTTTCCACCTTTTAAATTAGAGGTCCCTAACTCGCAGTTATAATATTATATATTTCGATTCATTTTAACCAACCGCATATTATATCTGTAAAAGAATGTGATGGACCAGGGCTCCTGGATCGACGTTTTCTTGTACTGTTCGCGTTTCAAACGAGTGGAACAGTTCATCAGCAAAAGTTGCAAAGTTCTCGCACAAAGTTAGAATCGTGCGGCTCAACACATAACGGATTATTCCAGCGAACACAGTTGGTATTATAGACTATCGTCCGCTCCGATTTAAATAGTGAGCAAAATTAATAGAAAAAATGGCATCGATTAGAACGTCAGTTTTGATTTGTAAAAGTCTTTTTTTTTTTTTTTCAATAAAGCTATATTCCTGTAAGAAATATAAATCAATTCAAACTTACCATCAAGTTCCTTTGCAATTTGCTCCTTGGCTCCGCTTTCTTTTTCCAGTTTCTTTTGAAGCCGTTCAAGCTCATTTTTCTTTGCCTCTACATCCACTTGTTGCTCATCGAATTTTTTGATCAGCTCAAAATTTTTGTCTTCTTCTCCCTTAAGTTTTTCTCTCGTTTTCCGCAGCTGTTCCTCCAACAAGCAAATTTTACTGTCTTTCGCCTTGAGGTCGACCTGTGACTTTTCATCCTTGATTTCGAGTTCGCAGCATTTTTGCGTAAGCTCTTGAATCTCACGACGCAGATCTAAGTTCAAAGTTTTTTCTTCTGCGGTGAGTTGTTTCTGTTTTTGTAAAGTGCTCGACATGCTTTCCAGCTGAAAATGTTGCTGTTGTTTGCTTTTGCGAAGATTCTCAGCGTCGTTTTCTAACTCGCTTATCTTCTGTAGCGCTGCAGTCGGCAAATCTAGTTTCCACTCGTCCCTGGCCCAGCTCATAATTCTCTGTCTACCGCTTGAAATATTCGCACCCTATGTAATCTCTTGTATAAAAAGTCTTCGCTTAACATGGGTTGATTTTGTGTCGTTTTCGTTAAAACAAAACTCGCGATATACGTCACAAAGGCTTGCGTGCACAAAATTTAAACAGCGAGCGCGCGCGATGTTGCGTTCTTGTCAGCGCGCACTTTATGAAATTTTCTAGAGAATTCTTTTTGTAGCTGTCTTCATTTATTGATTAATCAAAATATTAATTGATTTATGTAGCATAAATTGATTATACACTTATTAATTAATTAACTTTCTTAATCAACATTCCAGTGATCCTTTTAGCTAGCACCAACTATATTTTAAAACTGTACCTCTTCTTTCCACATCATATGAAGGAAAATGATATGAAAAAGGAGAAAAAAGAAAGCATTTGGCTTAGTGGTCCCCATGCAGATACCACAGAAATTTGTAATATTAGGTTGCCAAGGGACCGATTAAGAAAGAAGAATTATATCTTGCAGGACAGTAATTTAAAAGCGAAGATTTTTGGTACAATTTTGCCTCTAATTTTCAGCAAGTTTATTTTAATATCACGTTCAGCCTTTTAACGGAATGGCAGAAAAACGTTCGAGATCTAGGAGAATCATTCTCCTTTAAGTTAAAGGAATCAATGGGCTAACCTCTTTAGAAAAAAATCAAGAACATCAAAGAATGTCAAAATCTCTATATATGGTCTAGGTATCACATTGTCATTTCTTTGCTTCTTCTGAAGAAACACAAACAAGTGAACTACATCAAATCTCAGTCTAGTTTAAAATTCCCTTCAATAACAATCTTTTAACCCCTTTTTATATATTGACCATCAATGTTTACTTGAAAATTCTCAGATTGAAATAACGGATATAAACATTGTATTTCAATAATTCTCCTTGCAAATTATTCAACTTACGTCAATTTAATTACAACAACACATTTCGCTGTTAGAATTTCAAAACAAAAACAGAAAAAAATAATAATAAAACGATTTTTTTAAAACACAGGACATTGGGTGCTTTTATCTGAAACCAGAAACTCATGTGAAAACCCGGACTTATGAGTTTCTGCTGAAACCGCACAGGAGCATATATTTCGATATATTGCTATAAGGAAAAATAATTTCATTCACGAAAATCTGAGAATTTATCTGATCGATTTTTTTGCACAGTCACGTGTTCACCAGGCCATTTTCGAGTTTTATTAAAAATCTCACAATTGTTAATTGAGTTTTGCTTTTCTGTTTCAACAATTTTTGTTATGATATTTTATTTTCTAGAAACAACCTGTTAACTTTTCGCACATACACTCGCCAAGTTTGGATTTGAAGAGAGCTTTTTTTTTGTAAGAGGGACAGCGGATTATTTTCCCATAGGAGGTAACATGTTGTTTTGCGAAACAACAAATGATGAAAAGATTTCTTGGATGCAGCTGTTTGAAGTTTTAAAATCCTGACACTTGTGTTTGATATGTACCTAAAGAAATATTGCAATGTTTTTTTTTTCTTTTCGTCTAAATAACACAGAAAGAAGAGAACAGCACGCGACGTTCACTACGCTAATATTAAGTCCTGTCGTTGTGAAAATCCGTCTAAACTTCTGAAAAGGATACCTCGTATTCAGTCATCAAAAGAAAGTTTGCCTGGATGTCAAAGTTTTAGCATTTTTAATGTGTAGTTTGGACTTTCGAAAATTTTTTAAACATTTATATACAGCGACAGCTAATTTCTTGCCCATCGGGGGATAACAAAAACGTTTTTCTTAGTTTCAATACAGTTTTAGAAACAACATCGACGACCAACAATATTATTTTACGTATATTGCCCAAATGGTTTGTTTTTTATGCAGGCCAGGTTTAATTTGTTGAATGTTAAATAGCATCACGTCCTTGACATACAAGACATACAAATAAGAGTTGTATTCTGCTCAGGTCAGCTATCAGCGCCATGGAGGATATTTTTAGCTTGTGATCGAGAAGTGGGTGTTAACGGTAAGGCATTGTTGAAAAGTTAGCTAAGTGCGTGGGAATAAGGAGTTAAAAGCTCGCGTGCTGTTTTGGCGATGTAAACTTGGATAAACTCTGAGCGGTCGGGATAACAATTCAACCATAATTTAAAATAATTTGGGGAATGCTGCAAGACACAAAAGTAAATGTAATAGGAAAGTACAAAACGTCGTTAACTTTCAATGGTCACTTTTTAAAGCAGTTTTATAATTACAGGAAAAAAAAACAGAGCCACCGTTTAAAGAATCAAAGAGGGAGAAGCTCGTTTACAGTTATCCGAAGGATTCTCGGCTTTCCCCACCAGTTTTGGCTCGGAACAACATTCCATAATTATTCATGATTATTGACGTGCTAAGGTTTCCAATGTTTGGTTACACTAATTAAGAGTAATAGGGGATTAAAGTGAAGGCAAACAATCTTTGTGTTGATGATGATGAGAAAATAACGGGCAAGAATTTTCCTAAAGTGGTTTCGGAGTTGAGCCCCCCAAAAATGTCTATTTTTTGCTGGATCGCGGATATCTTGCCCTGATTTAAGAGTTCTAGCAAATAAAGAACCAGGAATATCGATAAAAAGGATATAAATACTCTTCATCCTAGCTTCTCACTTTACGCCTTTGGCTGATTCTCAACCTCCAGGTTTCAACCCTCCCANTTTTTTTTTCTTTTCGTCTAAATAACACAGAAAGAAGAGAACAGCACGCGACGTTCACTACGCTAATATTAAGTCCTGTCGTTGTGAAAATCCGTCTAAACTTCTGAAAAGGATACCTCGTATTCAGTCATCAAAAGAAAGTTTGCCTGGATGTCAAAGTTTTAGCATTTTTAATGTGTAGTTTGGACTTTCGAAAATTTTTTAAACATTTATATACAGCGACAGCTAATTTCTTGCCCATCGGGGGATAACAAAAACGTTTTTCTTAGTTTCAATACAGTTTTAGAAACAACATCGACGACCAACAATATTATTTTACGTATATTGCCCAAATGGTTTGTTTTTTATGCAGGCCAGGTTTAATTTGTTGAATGTTAAATAGCATCACGTCCTTGACATACAAGACATACAAATAAGAGTTGTATTCTGCTCAGGTCAGCTATCAGCGCCATGGAGGATATTTTTAGCTTGTGATCGAGAAGTGGGTGTTAACGGTAAGGCATTGTTGAAAAGTTAGCTAAGTGCGTGGGAATAAGGAGTTAAAAGCTCGCGTGCTGTTTTGGCGATGTAAACTTGGATAAACTCTGAGCGGTCGGGATAACAATTCAACCATAATTTAAAATAATTTGGGGAATGCTGCAAGACACAAAAGTAAATGTAATAGGAAAGTACAAAACGTCGTTAACTTTCAATGGTCACTTTTTAAAGCAGTTTTATAATTACAGGAAAAAAAAACAGAGCCACCGTTTAAAGAATCAAAGAGGGAGAAGCTCGTTTACAGTTATCCGAAGGATTCTCGGCTTTCCCCACCAGTTTTGGCTCGGAACAACATTCCATAATTATTCATGATTATTGACGTGCTAAGGTTTCCAATGTTTGGTTACACTAATTAAGAGTAATAGGGGATTAAAGTGAAGGCAAACAATCTTTGTGTTGATGATGATGAGAAAATAACGGGCAAGAATTTTCCTAAAGTGGTTTCGGAGTTGAGCCCCCCAAAAATGTCTATTTTTTGCTGGATCGCGGATATCTTGCCCTGATTTAAGAGTTCTAGCAAATAAAGAACCAGGAATATCGATAAAAAGGATATAAATACTCTTCATCCTAGCTTCTCACTTTACGCCTTTGGCTGATTCTCAACCTCCAGGTTTCAACCCCCTCAATTTAGACGGAAACAGAAACATAACTGAGAACATAGAGAGAAGTGTTGCAAATTTAATTTGTACATATACACTGTAGATATATTGTTTATAGGTACAATTAGAATATAACTTATTTGATTATCCTTAAACATGCAGCCTGCATGTATAAAGTACTCGTGTAAATGTAGGTTAGATCTTACAATACCAATTTACTCTGTGGCGTTTCATTGCCTGTCGAGAGTAATATGTTGAAAACACTTGATTCGTGGTGCCGGTCACAAACACACAGAGCCGGATGTTCTTACTTGCTTAAGTGCCTTCCGTGCCCCGCCTGCTATATACTGACCTTTCTTCAAAAATAGTGCTGCATCGCGACACAATACTGTGTACAGCTATTTCAAGAAAGGCTGTCGGAAAAAGTGCACGCGACAATCCCGAAAGGTATTGTGGGTGATTTTGAGTTCACTGTTTTTCAAAGAAGTTTCAAAGAATGGCAGGAGAGGCCATGGACGTATGTTTGCGAGTGCTAAAGGAAAGAAACAAAAGCAGGTTCGACAGCTACGTACAGTGTCAGGAACAGTGTATTGATCATATCCCATATTACCTTTCGGGATTGTCGCGTGCACAGTTTTTCCGACAAACTTTCTCGAAATAGCTGTATAGCTAAATACATAGTCCATGTTGTGGTTCAGATTTCTCTTTAGCTTTCCAACTAAATGCGATTTGTCCCGATTTGTCTTGATTATAGTTATGGCTTTTTTTAATGCAAGACATAGGAAAATATCAAGTAGGCTCAATACATCGGAAAGCCCACTCCTTTGGTCTTTTTATTGACAAACTGGATTGTAATGATATCAGACAGACTCTCACGAAGGGTGAAGCGACAAAATATCTTGTAACGCCAGTAGCCATATCACTGGGTGTGGCGGGAAAGGGAGTATATTTTTCCTTCCCAGATTTAACTGCCAGCAGAGACACTCTTCAAGAGCAAGACCCAGAGAA